CTCTGGAACTGGTTGTTAAAGGGTTTTGATCCTTTAGTCTATGACTCAGCTCTGGGACTGGTTGTTAAAAGATTTTGCTCCTCCTGTCTATGGCTCACTCAGGCCTGAGATTAGTCTCGTGGGAGAATGTATTTTTTTTTTTTCATTTTCTTTACATGGTGTGGGTTCTTTACTGATGTTGTATTCTCCAAGAAGGGCCTGCAATATAATGACGTAAGGGAGTCTTTGCTGAGATTCATGAAATTTAATCGTAGATTAGCCATGCCCGCATTTACCCGTGAGGATAATCGGTTCATGCGTGCTCAAGTGATAATCTCGGTTTCATGCTCACCTCGAGGTCACTTCTCCTGTGAGGTTTCTAGCGTTTGTCTTCTGAGCCTATATTCCGTTTCTGGTATTATTTGGTCTTTCCCAATTTCCTTAAGATTGTATAGGCTGGATCTGAATTCCAATGATCACTTACTGTTTGTCCAGGTCATCTGTAGCCTTTAAATGTCCTGTCCAGTCTATCATTGTCATTTTCACATTATTAGACTATGTGTTCTCTGTCATGTCGTTTACTTACAACAGAAAAAGTACAGGTCCTAGTACTGAGCATTAAGGAACCTCACTTTTCTCACTTTCCCATTATAATATCTCTTCCTGTACAATGACTCGTTGCTTACTTCCTTTATCCAAATGCAGTGCTTTCCCTGTTATTCCGGTATTTTCCTCTAGATTTGTCCCATTCTCCTTTGTGTCAAGAAAGCCTTCTTACAGTCCAGGAATATACAGTGTATCCATCTCTCTCCTGTGTTCTTGTCACAGAACATTAAGGTTTATGAGACAGGACTTACCATATCTCGAAAATCGAGCTAGTTGTCTTTTTACAAATCTGCTTCTTTCCAGGTGCTCCACTTTTCTAAGCTCTTCATAACGTTATATTCCATGTACCTTATATATCATGTGTGTGTATAACACTGCAGTTCGTTAAGCTATTTGCACCTTGGCATTTCCTTTGTATTCGGAGCATGAAATACAAAACTGCGCTCCTGCAAGTCATCTCGACCGGTTGTAAGCATGGTAGCCAGAGTTATCTAGTGACAGTATGTGACCCGAGCTGGTTTGGTGACCATTATATTCTGTAACTGTCTGACTCTCAGCGAAGGACTGATTGGGTGGTTCAGTTACGTCACTTGTGGCATATCCTGTTCATCAAGACCCTCTCGAACCGACAACTGGTTCACATCATACTTGCTGCCTGTCTTCGTTATTCATGAGTGTATATTCACTATTGCAAATAGAGAATACTTTATATTTTACTTTACTTTCTGTTCACATAGGAACTGGCTGGTGTTTCAAATATTGTGCTTAGTATATGAACGTTTTATTTGGTAAAGGAATGCAATTAAATCACAAATTCCTACCGTATCTGTTTCATTTCCCCATTTACTTCAACTATTACTGGGATTAGATTTAGTACCACCTGGTTGTGCAGGCATGCTACAGATGAACCAGAGTTCATACAATCTTGCTATACCTGTCAATGACACTTGGTTTGTGGTTCAATTCTGCCTCCCTGTCCTTTTTCTTAAATATTTGGACTGTCTTCCACACTATTGACTTGTTGAAGATTTTCAACAGCAGAACACACAGTGAACTTTCTTCCTCTTTCAAGACCCATGAGGGATAATATTTAGTCACTTTGTCTTCGAGTTATCTATCTTACTCGGCAGTATCTTCACCTATTCCCTTAGTATTGAGTCTAGAAGCTCGTTGGTGCACTCTTTCTGGTAATGTCACTACTTCTTCCGAGAATGCATCCGTAAAACTTTTGTTTAGGTACTCGCAGACTTTCTGGTCATTTCTTTTTTAAGCAGACCCTATTCTGCATTCAGTCTTATTAACTGGTTCTTTACTTTCGTCTTCCTTCTCATGTGATTGTACAGGAGGTTTTCTTCAGATTTGTGTTTCATTCCAAAGTCATTATAAAATGGCAGTTCAACCTCCCTTTTTACCCATGCATATTCGTATCTCGCTCTTCTGCTCGCTTCCCTGTTTTCTGCCGTTCTTGGCTTTCGATATTTTTCAACGCTCCTGCACTTTTAGCTTTTATCTCTCTGTATCTCTGGGAGAACCATAGCCTCGCCGTGTTCTTGCTGTTGCTTCTGCATATGGATATGAATTTGTCCTCTGCCTCTCGGCACTATGTGTGTGTGTGTGTGTGTGTGTGTGTGTGTGTGTGTGTGTGTGTGTTGTGTGTGTGTGTGTGTGTGTGTGTGTGCGTGCGTGTTAAATTCTCAAAAATTTTCCCAAATAATGTTTCTTCTCTGATTTTACCTCCTCTTTGCCGCTCTCTTTGCGAAGAAATATTTTTCAACAAGCATTTTAAATTTCTTTTTAAAAACTTTTGGTCTCCTGTTTAACGTACTTTTTGTACCAAGAAACTCTTTTTGTATATTTTTTCATATCACTTTATAAATATATATATACAAAAAAATGGTCTCCTTTTACTTTCTAACGAAAACATTTTCTATCACTTTTATTATTTCCTCATAACGGATTTTCCTTAATTTTTCAGTCCAGCGCCTAGAAAAAAAAACCTGTGGCAATAATTAATAATCAAAAGACTTAAAATCTAGAAATTCTTATCCAAAAAGGTCAAACAGTTGCAAGCACTTGTTACTATAGAGACAAAATTAACAAAAAATAATCGCACCACAAGGAATCTGATAATATATTGTAAATTCTCTAATACAATAACCTATGCAAGAGCATTAATATACCGAATTCCCACAATATAAATGCAACTCATTTCTAGAACAAATAGGAAATTGGGTTTTCATCTGCCTCAAAACACATCCCTCTTGTTGTACCCGAGTAAATAAAAGCCCATGCAACACCGCAACTCTATATATACTGAAAAATATAGGAAGGTATATAATGGCAGGAGGAACTTAATATAAAACCTCTATTAATTATGCAAAAGATACTTAAGGAACATTTTAGCATGTCAAGAGCCATTAGTACAATGTTCATTGAGTAGTTGCTGTCACTATAAGCGCAAAAGCCTTGAGTACACTAAGACTGCTTCACAACCTAAATTCAGTATCTCACAAGGCCAACGGAAGCCTTCTTACTATATCCAACTTTGCTCTCAAGTTCCTTCTTCATGCTCCTGATTTTCTTCCTGCACCCGAGACTATTCCTCCACCTATCCTTTCTGCATTTACCTGACTTACATCATATATCTTAAGTCAGTTGGCTTTTGTACATACATAATAATCCTTGTACACTTGGGTGTGTGTAAACATGGAATTTTGGGGGGATTGTCATGTATAGTGGTGCTTGAGAGAGTTAAGTATTTTACATCATATGTTAACATAATAATACAGAAATAATGCCATGTAGGCGCAGCACCGCCGATGTTTATCTACATGATTATTACTTTGATGGTAGGTAAGACACATAGGCAACAGTTAGGCAACTTTATTCAGAAACGTTTCGCCTACACAGTAGGCTTCTTCAGTCGAGTACAGAAAGTAGGCAGGAACAAAAGGGATGTGAAGACGATGTAATCAGCCCATCACCCTTGAAGTCGTAGATTTGAGGTTGTCAGTCCCTCAGTCTGGAGAAGTTCAGTTCCATAGTCAGGAACTATCTCAGATAGACTATGGAACTGAACTTCTCCAGGCTGAGGGACTGACAACCTCAGATCTACGACTTCAAGGGTGATGGACTGATTACATCGTCATCACATCTCTTCTGTTCCTGCCTACTTTCTGTATTCGACTGAAGAAGCCTACTGTGTAGGCAAAACGTTTCGGAATAAAGTTGCCTAACTGTTGCCTATGTGTCTTACCTACCAACCTGTCAGTATTGTATACCATTTTGATATTACTTTGTTGTTTTGATTAATACGATGCATTTGGGTAGAAACTAGGAAAATGTTTTGGCACAAACTAGCGTATCAAAATTTTCACGTGGCGATGAAACGTGAGATGGTGAGTACGGGTTTATTATTATTATTATTATTGTTATTATTATTATTATTATTATTATTATTATTATTATTATTATTATTATTATTATTATTATTATTATTATTATTATTATTATTATTATTGTGAGGGAGAGCGCTAGGTATACAGTAAATTAGTTATCACTTCCAAGACATCTTCATTATTAATTCATAAGTGTCCTTGTATAGTAAGTTCTTGGACTGTGATTATACAGTAGAATCATTCTTGTTTTCCTGAAGAATCAAAGAAATGTGTTTAAGTACTTTCCTTTCGCGGTGCTTCAAGCATATTTAGTATAAAGAGTAAAATACATTATCTGATATCTCTTGTTTCCGAGCGTGTTTGCAAAAAAAATCACATTCTGAAAATCCACGAGTACTGCCAGCAGCGGACACGGCTCTCAAACACGAGTCCCTCACGCTACCAGTTGTGCTACAACAGATTTAAGTATTGAAAACGGATTTTCAGCTAAAACCACCGGTTGAGTCTGGCTCGAAGTGGTACATATTCTCATGGTTTACTCAGTGGGAATAGTTCAGTAACATGTTCCATTATATCCGAACACCCTTGTTAACAGTCGATTATATTTTCACGGTAATGTTGAATTTAAATTTATACGACTACTTATAGAGCGACAGTAGAGTTTGAAATATTTTTGAAATATTATTTATTTACCAGTACATAAGCTACAAAAGTAAGGTATAATTTATAGTCCTTGCTCTTAAGCGATAGAAAATTTAGTAACAATCTGTGCTTGAGAATTAAGTTAGTCGTTTACGTTATTATATGCATTTCATAATATTCATAAACTGCACAAGCGAGATCACATGGAGGAAAAAATAAAGATAACTCGCGTATATTTCCATTTGTCACTGAGGCCCTCTTCAGTAAACTGTCAACTAAACAGCGCCTTGGTACGTTGTTGTTTTGACTCCATGTTCATTTGTTCCATTAATTATTTATTATACAGATTTTAATCTTGTGTTTATTATGTTTCAGGTGGCAGCCACAGACACTTCCAGCTTGCTATACCCGGGCAGTCGCATCTATAGCCCAGACCGAGCCCAGGAGGTAGTGGGTCCGCAGGTGCTGACTGCCACCACAGCTCCACTGCGACGGACTCCCTTTAGCACTCTTGAGGAGAAATTCGAAGGCGACAACGAATTGATGGAAATTACTCTTCCACCCCCAGCAGCATACGACCAGGGCTACCAGTCCTCTTACCCGGGATGTCAGCCTCTGGATCAGCGCTATCAACTACAAGAGCACGGACCCCAGCGACTAAAACAAAACTATCCAAAAGTTTTCCACGATTATCAGCCAGTTCTCCCTGGAGGCCACCTCCCCACACCTGGGTATCCTTCAGTGGCTATCAAGGGTGGCCACCCAAGCCTGCAGTACATATCCTCGGTGGCCATTCCCCCAGATTATCACTTTCCAAGCAAAGACCAAGTAGGCGCATCTACGAAGGTATCCACTTCATCGCCCTACGCTACTCTGCCTCACAGCAAAATCACTGCCTCATCGTCATTCGCCACTTTGCCGACAAATAAAGATGCGAATCCAGAGAACAGAATCGAAGACTCTAAAATGTCGACGGTTTACAATCCTCTGTCGCTGTTCGCGTCGAGTCCGACTTACGCGCAGAAGTGTGGCACTGCGGCGATGGTAGGGAGTGAGAGAGCACTCAACACCGGCTCACTCAAGCGGGGAGTCAAGCCACAGGGACAAGATGTGCTCAGAATAAGAGACAACTCGAGGAACCGAAGTGCCAGTTTATCCTCCGTTACCTCAAAGAGGGAGAGCTCAGTCTAACGCAAGCCCACTTCAAAATGCCTTTTTTTAAACATGTTTGAAACCTTTTTGACATTACATGGGCAAGACCTTTTTCTTTGTTTTAGGTGACAATTTATAACATTAGTACATATGGGAATCCTCACACTCCCCAAAAAATATTTTGTCTAGGAAAAGCCAGTTTCTGGATTTGGAGCGACAAAAGAATAATAGAGATATTTTCTATACAATCTTTCAGGCATAATTGTTTTGAAATAGTGTTGTAGTGTACGTGACCTTGTTGTATATTAGAATGTTACGTAGGGACTGAGAAAATGTGTTTGGAAATGCGCTTAGAGGCTAAGAAAAGTTTCTTGGAGGCTGAAGAAAGATAACGAGAAGCTGAAGAAAAGGGGTACTTGGGTAAATGAAAAAAGCTATCTGGGAATGAGGAAGTATGCATGAAACAAAGCGTGCATGGAGCTGGAGATATATTAGAAGCTGTGGATATATGCATGGAGACTGTGGTAAGGTACATGAAATCTGGGGAAAGGTACTTAGAGGATGAAAAATGTAGCTGGAAGGATAAAAATGCTACTTGGAGGCTGAAACAAAACGACAATTGAGCCCAGAAAATCAACTGGGGTTGAGGAAATCAACTTGGAGCTACAAAAATGTTCCTTGAATAGATTCTTGGAGGCTGAGGATAGTTATCCGGAGGCTCAGGATAGTTATCTGGAAGCTGAGGATAGTTATCCGGAAGCTGAGGATAGTTATCCGGAAGGTGAAGAGAGTTTTCCGGAAAGCTGATGATAGTTATCCGGAGGCTGAGGAAAAGTTTAAAGTTAAATCAACGAACTGCTCACACTGAGGCCGATTTTGAGTATTATTTTGTATTGGCTGAACAAATATACGAAATCCTTTAAATGTTATTTGTTAATACGTTTCAGTAATTGCAGCCTTTAAGACGACAGTATGAAATACGCAAAAGATATTCTCAGTTAATTCGTATTACGGACGAATTCTTTGGCTTAAAAACGATAGTGCGATATAGAGAGGAGACATTTTATGGCCTAATTCATATTAGCAACTACCAACTTGCCTTAAGGCGACGGTACGTAATTTCCTTCATTTCTCGTGAGATCTTGGAGGAAGCATTAGCCTAAGTCCTCACTGCTTAGCATTAGGTGTTTTGATCAAGAGATCAACCCAAGACGACTTTCATTGGTGATGTAAATCGGGCAAGCCACCCATTACTGCTGTTAACAGAAGCTTGGCTGTGGGAACACCGCTCCTTAACTTCAATCCACTTCCTTAGCCACACCTATACGAGGCCACATACACACCTACTCAAGGCCACATACACACCTACACAAGGCCACATACACACCTACACTAGGCCACATACACACCTACACGAGTCTAAATACACACCTAAACGAGGTCACACCACCTAGAAGAGGCCACAGCACACACACGAGGCCATGCAGACCATCTACATTAGGCCACTTACCTGGAGTTTACCTGGAGAGAGTTCCAGGGGTCAACGCCCCCGCGGCCCGGTCTGTGACCAGGCCTCCTGGTGTATCAGAGCCTGATCAACCAGGCTGTTGCTGCTGGCTGCACGCAAACCAACGTACGAGCCACAGCCCGGCTGGTCAGGAACACTTCGTTGAAGATTTTTAATAAAACGCTGAAGCTGCATTTATACACTATTAAAATGTTC